AACATTGTCTCATCACGAGAATGGGCCAAAATTTTAGTTGACAATGTTGAACCGTCATTAATGACTTTGTTTGATCTCCTTGAACCTAGATCTTGGGATCTCCAGTCTTCTAGGTAGAGTTACCGCCACAATGACTTGTTCTCGGCCATAGTCCCATTCCCCTTGATGATTTCTCAACTACCTCTCTAGTTAGGCCTTTTGTAAGTGGATCCGACACATTATCACTTGACTTTACATAGTCAATCGTGATAATTCCTCTAGAGAGTAATTGCGTAATGGTTTTATGTCTTCGTCATATATGGCGAGGTTTACCGTTATACATAACGATCCCAGCCCTTCCAATTACAGCTTGACTATTGCAATATATACATATTGGTGCCAACGGTTTGGGCCAAAATGGAATGTCTTCCAAGAAATTCTTGAGCCATTCAGCTTCTTCACCGGCTTTATCTAAGCCTATGAATTCAGCCTCCATTGTAGAGCGGGAAATACAAGTTTGTTTGGATGACTTCCAAGATACCGCTCCTCCACCAATAGTGAATACATATCCACTTGTGGACTTAGAATCAGTTGAACCGGTGATCCAATTTGCATCACAGTATCCCTCAATCACCGCAGGATATTTACAGTAGTGCAAAGCAAAGCCCTGGGTATGTTATAAATATCCCAAAACTCGTTTCATTGCCATCCAATGAGATTGACTTGGATTGCTCGTGTATCGACTCAATTTACTTATACCACAAGCTATATCTTTGCTAATGCAAGATTCACGTCAATTGGAGTCTTTGCAACTTTAAACCCTAAGTGCTTGAATTTTCAAGTACTATCTTAATATAATGAGATTGTGACAATGCCAGACCTTGAGGAGTCTTATGGATCTTAATCCCCAGAATTAAATCAGCAACTCCCAAGTCTTTCATATCAAACTTGCTAGTTAGCATACTCTTAGTAGCATTTATGTTGGCAATGTCATTACTCATTATCGGCATATCATCCACATATAAGCAAACAATGACTATGTGATTTGGAACATTTTTAATGTACACACATTTATCACATTCATTTATCTTAAAACCATTTGACAATATTGTTTGGTCAAATTTCACATGCCATTGTTTGGGTGCTTGTTTTAGGTTGTAAAGGGACTTAACAAGTCTGCATACCTTCTTTTCTTTACATGGAACACAAACCCTTCAGGTTGTTCCATGTAGATTTCTTCCTCCAAATCTCCATTCAAGAAGGCCGTCTTAACGTCCATTTGATGAATTTCAAGACCATACACTGCAGCTAATGCTACTAACATCCGTATGGATATAATTCTTGTAACTAGAGAGTATGCATCAAAGTAGTCAAGACCTTCTAGTTGTCTATACCCTTTGACTACAAGTCTTGCCTTAAATTTATCAATTGTTCCATCATCTTTCATTTTTCTCTTAAAAATCCATTTAGAACCCAAAGTTTTATTTTCAGGAGGAAGATCAACCAATTCCCATGTATGGTTGTTCAATATGGATTCTATTTCACTATTGACTGCCTCTTTCCAAAACAATGATTCCGAAGAAGACATAGCTTCTTTAAATGTTTGAGGCTCATTTTCCAATAAGAAAGTCACAAAATCTTGTCCAAATGAAGTAGACGTTCTTTGACGTTTACTACGTCTTGGATCCTCCTGATTAAATGTACTTTCTTTTGTTTCTTCCCGAGGTCGTTTAGATCCTTCATCAACCGACTCATATTCCTTTTTATACGGATATATATTTTCAAAGAACTAAGCATTATCTGATTCTATAACCGTATTATTATGAATGTCGGAATTTTCTGATTTATGAACCAGAAATCGCTATGCTTTACTATTGGTCGCATATCCTATGAAAACACGATCAATGGTTTTCGGTTCTATTTTTACCCTTTTGGGTTTAGGAACTTGCACTTTTGCCAAACACCCCCACACTTTAAAATAATTCAAGTTGGGCTTCCTTCCTTTCCATTTTTCATATGGAATGGATTGTGTTTTGCTATGGGGTACTCGATTTAGTATTCGGCTAGCCGTAAGAATGGCTTCCCCCCACAAGTTCTGTGGCAAACCAGAACTTATCAATAATGCGGTCATCATCTCCTTTAATGAACGATTCTTTCTTTCTGCAATCCCATTGGATTGGGGCGTGTAAGGGGCCGTTGTTTGATGAATAATTCCATATTCTAAACATATTTGTTAAAAAGGAGATTCATATTCACCACCCCTATCACTTCTTATCATTTTGATTTTCTTATTAAGTTGCGTTTCAACTTCATTTTTGTATTGCTTGAATGCGTCTATTGCTTTATCTTTACTATTAAGTAAGTAAACATAGCAATATCGAGTACTATCGTCAATAAAAGTTATGAAATACTTTTTTCCACCGCGAGATGGTATTGACTTCATGTCACAAATATCTGTGTGAATTAAGTCTAAAGGATTTGAATTCCTTTCAACCGACTTATAAGGATGTTTAACATACTTAGATTCCACACATACTTGACATTTTGATTTGTCACATTCAAACTTGGGCAATACTTCCAAATTAATCATTTTCCGTAAGGTTTTATAATTGACATGACCCAAACGTATATGCCATAATTCATTTGACTCAAGTAAGTAAGACGAAGCTGAAATTTTATTATTATTTTCAACAACCATTACATTCAGCTTGAAAAGGCCCTCAGTGAGGTAACCTTTTCCTACAAACATTTCATTCTTACTTATTACAACCTTATCAGAAATAAAAACACATTTAAAACCATTCTTAACAAGAAGTCCAGTAGAGACTAAATTCTTCCTAATCTCAGGAACATGAAGGACGTTGTTCAAAGTCACCACTTTGCCGGAAGTCATTTTTAGAAATATCTTCCCACATCCTTCAATCTTTACCTTTGAAGCATTTCCCATAGAAATCGTCTCATCGGGTCCAACAGGAGCATAAGAAGCAAAAGCTTCTCAACAGCACAAACATGGCGAGTGGCTCCAAAATCAATCCACCACTCTTTAGGATTGCCCACCAAGTTGCATTCGGAAAGCATGGCACATAAATCATCAACATCATCATGCTTTTCAACCATGTTTGCTTGACCCTTATTCTTGTCCTTCTTCAGAGCACGACACTCCGTAGATTTGTGTCCGATTTTTCCACAGTTGTAGCAGTTTTC